TTATACAATGGTACAAAAGCAACATTTGGGAGAATCAAATTCATAAAGATTAAAAAATAGATTGTATTAGAATAAGTTCCGATCAGGGTTTAAAATTGACTTGCACAAGATGCACATGTGCAAGTGCTTTTTTTTGATTTTTTAAAAATCTCTTAAGTGTGCAAGTTTTTTAAAAAAGTTGCACAAAATCCATTTGTGCAAGAGATTTTTTCTTGAATTTTAAACACTGGTCCCGACACTATACCAAGATCACGGGATTATTTAGATCCATTTTCACTTACTGTCTTTGTATAGGAAGTTTGGCTTAATTATAATACCTAGAATAATACCTAGAATAATTACACCTTTATAAACATATGTTGAGAAAGCATTACGCATATGATTATGCTGCAGTTAGGTACTTATGAGAAGATTTCACGTCACAAGAAATAAACTTTATCATTAATTAGAGTTCAATTTTTTTACTTTTGAGAAGGAAAAAGCACCCGCATTTATACATTTTATTTCATAGCATGGACATCTTTATATATTACATTTATTTAATAATAATCACAAAATTATTTATTCAAATTCCCTCGATATAGCGAACAAAATATACCCTATAAAAAAAAGTTATTATATTCCGAAAATATTTCAGATTATTATACTTGAAATATGCATAAAATATTCAGAAGATATTCCAGTTTATTAACTAAGTTATTTTTTTTTGAAAGTAATTTGGAAAATAGGCAGATGCTAATCATACTTTACTCCTAATAAAAAATTCAATTTGGGCAATTATGAAATTAGTAAAACTTATCTCTATCAATTTTACTAAAATAAATTGTCTTTACTACTCTTTATATAGCTAAAAATTACTTAGCTTGGTTTTAGTAGAGGAAAAATTTGAATTTGTACTATAGTAAAATATTTTTAAAAAGACTATTAAAAAGAAACATTTGTCACTCGACCATACAATTCATCAAACAATACATTGTAATTCGGGTAAAACGTACGCCTAAAAATCCCTACTCGTTAGGGTAAACCGGGCAATGGTTTGCGTAACGTTAAACAATAATACTACTATGTCTCGAAAGAGGACGTTCGATTTGGCAGAGCCAAGTGTAAAGTTTATTTAATATATATGCTTTATTAGGATCTATGCGAGATACCTTTATATTGTGATAAATGCTACTCTTATATACTATAACTAAATGTGCCGAATGTGCTATATGTTCTAATTGTACCAAATATCCCAAATGTACCGTATATCCCAAATGTACCACTTATACTATATAAAGAAATGCGCCAACCTAAATAATTATGCATGCGATCACCAGTTACGATCATAACTGTCGATCCTATTTTCACTTATAACAACATCAAACAATCGGACTGTAGAAGTTTTGTACTGTATTTAGTAGTTGAATGTACTGTACTGTACATAAATTTAGGTGTACTATGCTTTATATCTGTACAGTAAACCTTTTTATTATGTAACATATAGATGTGTACTGTATTGTATTGATTAAAGAAAGTATAGTACATTGAACTTTGTTAAAATAATAACTTTGTTGCCAAAAGCAATTTAAAAAAATAATTCAAAGCTAACTTAATTATTACGTATTACATGAATATTAAAAAATTTCATGTTGAAGATATAATTAATTCAGATGCGCTTTATGTTCATCATTTATAATCCATATAAAAAAGCAATAACGATAATGTATATTACCAATATTTTATTATAGTATATTTGCATTAGTGAAATGTATATCAATATAATTATTGTGCATATTCGAAAATATATATGTATTATAATATATCAATACAATTTAATTATTTTGAAGTTTTTGAAGTTTTTCTAGTAACATTATTTGTCTTTCCAATTCATCATTTTTGTTTTTCTGAATATCAAGCTTCTCACGTTCAATTCTTAAAAGACTTTCTTGTTCCTCAATATTAATAGATTCACTTGAAACCGAGCCTTTTTAGAAGACTTTTGATTGACTGAAGCTTTATTTGAATGTTTGCCTTAAATTAATTAATTCATTATCAATTAATATGTATATATTTAATTACAATTTGTAATTATTTATATATATAACATACTTGTTTTTTTAATTGATTCAGTGGTCCTCTGTAAAAGGTGATTTATTTCGATAAGAGTCTGAGACATTAGTTTTTTCGTATGTATTTGCTGAACTCCATTGAAGCTTGTCAAATTCTTTAGCCCCTTTGTTTTATTAATATATATTAATATATGTAAATATTATACAAATATAAATAAATATTACATAATTATACTGTTAAAAAGTTTTAATATTGTATACTTACTTGGAAATTGCAGCCAATAAAGACAAATTACGTCCATTTCTATTAATATTTGCATGGGCTAATTCCCCAGCATTAGTTGTAAATGGCGTGCTAGTCCAAATCCTTTGTTCCATTTTAGTAAAGGCAGGAGACAAGCCAGCAAGTATCCATGGATGTTTTTTATTTTGTACCCAATCTAAAAGTATTAATTTTTAAGTTTATATATATTATATAATATAATAATTTAAATAACAATAATATACCAATAACACCAGGTTCTTCACAAGATTCAAGAAATTCAAGGGTACTCATAGTTTCATAAACAGTTTGCTTTTAATTAAGGAATATATATATATTTTTAATTTCTTTGTTTATTCCTTTTTTGTTGCAAATATTTCTACACATATATATATGAGTTAAATAAATTAAATAAATTGTATATATTTAATAATTAAAATTTAATTTATAAATATTTACCTTTTAAAATATATTGTACATAATTTGTAAATTCATTCTAAATGTTCAGTGGCATTAAAAATTGGAAATTTATTGGATAAATATTGGCCTAAGCCTAAAATAAAATCAAAATTTTAGCATCATTTTCTTTAGCATTATCTGTAGCCAAAATATAAAATTTACCTAATGCTTGGCCATAATGCTCATCAGCTAAAATACACCCAATTCCACGATTATAAATATGTTGAAGCTTAACAGAATATCCACAATCTTGTTCTACACAAGTAAAAAGTTTTTCAAATAACTTTTGATATGTATTTGCTGTTTGAAGAATAGTGAAAGCACATGCAAATACTAAAGCTTTTAAAATAAATAATATATCTAAAATATATGCTAAGTTATAGTTCAGATTAACAATTACAAAAATTTACTGATACTATTATATCTTGAAATCAGATTTGTAGTTTAAAATTTTATACTACAATTTTGGCATATATTTTAAATATACTAATAAAATTTTTTTTTTTTTCGGTATTAAGATGACCTCTTTGGCCAGGGAACGTTTTATTAGATAGTTATGTTTTTCAATTACAGTAAGAGTACATATAGCCACACATGCACCTTTTGAGTGCCTAATTT